TTGAAGTGAGGCTGACTGCAAACAAGAACAAATGGCAAGAGCTCGAGGGGTGTTAACTTAGTCTACTTGTATATCGCTCTATGTATTGGAAGAAACACACACTAAAGAAGACAGTACATCTGAAAGGTTGATAAATGTTTCTGTTTTTACTGTTGACTTGCTTGATTCATTTATAGATCGTTTTCTCAGGAGCAAAAGTTAGAGAAAACTTGTGACTGTAGCTATGATTGTAACATGACCAGGGTTGCCACAATACTGGAATTTGTGCGTTTGAGCACTGTTGCGCACGTTCATTAACAGCGCTGATTTGCCATTGTGTTCACTTGCTCAACCAAAATGGTTATGGAGGTCATCAGTTTATCGAACTCACCACTGTTTACTGAGTGTAACCACAAATACAGGGACACTGAAGCATTTTAAAGCCGCGATTCATCTGCGGATCGCTCGTATATCAGCTTATTGACAAACCAGCTGATTGACATGACTTTAAGGGTGCTTTCACACTAGCACTTTTGGTCCACACATGTGTTCGTTTGACGTCAGAGTTCGATATGGTTAGCTAGTGTGAACGTATTTTAAACTCATGTGCGCATCTGTGAACTACCTGAGTTCGCTGAAAGAGGGGTTCTTGCAAACTCAGGTACTGTTAACGTCTGATATGTATGCAATCGTATCAAGTAATGGAAGTGAACCGCCAACTCTACAACAAACACGTGTGTATGGCTGCATGGGACTGACACTGTGTAAACACAGTGATAATGTCTCCTTGTCTCCACCAAAAACGACTTCTGCAGACATCGCATGATGTTTTTATTGCAGCAGATAGACGCAAGTAGCTCCCTATATTTTGGCTTTGGTAACTAAACACAAACTGGCCAAGAAGGTGGAAAGGGGGGACAATTGAAATGGGGTGTGGTCCAGGCAATTGATGATCTTCATGGCCAATCACAGTCATTTCTGTTGAGGATGTGAACACAATGGCAAATCAGTTAAGAACCAATGGCAAATGTTTAAGAACGTTCTGAACAGCGCTCAAATGTTCACGGGAAATGGACGTTTTCAGTATCGATTGGTACCAAATTCCAGTGTCCTGACAATCCTAAACATGACAAGCATTGACCAAATAGGTGAACACAAATTGATCTCTCTCATTTGACTGTAACTTGACTTAGTATTTTTCATGAAGTACAGTAGCCTAGCAATGTATTTTTTTAGTTTAACATGATTCAGTGTAATATAAATCCACAAAAGCACCATAGTTCATATAAAAATGCTGTTGATTTATGAAAAGCATAATGGAATATAATCAATGTTTGCATTCATAATATAATACAAAGTCAATATCAACATGTCTGGCAGAATACAATGGCTAAAGTTAGTGATACTGTTAATCCATGGTAAATGTGCATGGTTTGTGGATTGGAAAGCTTCTAATTGGATGTATGTGGCTCAGTGATTCTGGTGATTTTCCAAATCAGTAGCTGTTGAAAATATCGGCACTGTTTAAAGTCACTGCTGGGTTGTATTAACTCAATACATGTTCTAATATGGACGAAGTCAACAGTTGTGCATTAAAATAAGTCATTTAAATTTAGTTTAGCATTTAATGTAAATTTGTTTCACCTACACTAAAAAAAGCCTCAGTGGATCAATTTAAATTAATTACTTCAACCTAAAAAAATTACATTTTTCCCAACTTATTTATTGTTGAAAACCGTAATACAATAAGTTGAAACTAATTAATTAAGCAATTAGATTTTAGTTTTCACTTTTTAGTAGCCCTAATCTAGGATATTGTTTTTGTATTTATTGAGGAAGGTGTTCTCCGATAGTATTAACCCAGACAGTACACTAAACTTTGCAAGGTTACGCTCTCCACTGCCTTAGAAAAGCGCTTTCTCTGCTGGTCGTCTCCCTGGATGTCCGAGTGTAAATTAGATCAAGCTCTTCTTCCAATCTGATGCCAAATCATTGGGAGGTCATTCTCATTTTACCCCCACCCTACCACGTTTGGATCCAAGCATCCTGTTTTCTAATTAAAACAGCACCTGTGTGGTGTGGGTAGGCCTGGACCGGAGCACTGGCTTCTGAAGGTCCAGGGATGAAATCTCAATATTGTTCCCAGCCAGAACACACAGTCTCTAGGTACTCTGGGGGCTAGTGATCCTGGAACACAGCCAGAACATGCACCAACACTCGATGTATGTGTGTGTGGGGCAGATTGCCGGGTCTCTCTCTCGTTAGCCCCTGTCGCTGTTTTCTTCTCATCTTTCTCCACCTCTCTTAGGTTACCTTGGGGCTTAAGGCCAATTGTTGGTTGTTAAGCAGTGCTAATTCTGTGTTTGCTGTCAGAAATTGATTTTGAAGGAAACACACATATATAGAAAAACATGTACACACTTCTCCCTCAGATTTGCTGTAGGGCGTACGCCTACTCACTGGCAATACTCACTCTGTGCTTTACATACAGTCAAGTTCAGGTCAAGGTTATAGCGAGACAGGTTTGAAGTGATGAGCAAACGCTCTCACTCTCCTTCTCTCGCTCTCGCTCTTGTTTTTTGCCCATTGGCACCCTCACCCTCCTTTTTAACTTTAATTACCAGCTAATCATTTTGTGTAATTATGTTCAAGGTTGACCTTACATTTTACATGCAGCGGTTTAGCGGGAGCTAAAAATTTCATGCTAAAACCTCTACCTTTTTACCTAGGTGTGTATGTGTGTGTTGTAATCATTGAGAGCAGATTTAAAGTGAATGTATTCGAAGGAACCGGGTTTTTACATTGCTATTTGGCCTTGATGTAAAGCTCGGCTTCTCCTGCTTCCTGAACGAAGGCATTGTTCTCTTAAACAGCTGTCGTTTTGGCTGATTCAGAACAGATGGCTGTGTGTGAGCGTGTGCATGTGAGTTTGTGTGTGCTGCACGATCACAGTTGGTTGTGATTTGTGTAGGGGGCGATTCGATTTCACAGACTGGCTGTGATGTGTGTGAGAAGATGGATCCTAATAATAATGCTGTAAAAAAAAACATCGCCATTGAATGGTCTTTTCCTTTGTTCTGAGACTTGTGTACTTTGTTTTTTTAATTGCAGTTTATACTAACGTTTACATACATACACATGATTTAGAAAATTAGATGCTTAGCTATTTTTATGTTTAAGCTGGAAGGGTCCTGTTTATTTTTGATGTGTCAAAATAGATTTATTTTGTTGATTGAAAATCATATTAATAATTGTATTATTATTGTAATTACTAAATTTAGTATAGTTTAGTTTTAGTACTTAGTGCTTTCGTGTAATATGGCTATCATAATTAATCTATAACATATTATTTTCTCAAATGCCTAAATTAATTATCTTCGCTAAAACTGGGCGGATATCAATTCATATTAGGCATGGGCTGGTATAATATTCTGACGGTATAATAACCTTGGATAAAATATCATGGTTTCAGGGTATTGTGATTATACGGTAATTGTGGTTACTGCCCTAAAATATGTTCTTTTTTTATTGTCTGGGTAAAAAAAAAAAAAAAATAATAATAATAATAATTCCGCTTTAAACACAAAACATTTTATTTTGAGAAACATTTCAAATGTTTTGGAACAGTCAGGCTGAATAATGAAAATGAATCATTGACTTCTGCTGTATTCATTGGTATCAAAAACACTGTTTTTTTTTATTTTTTGTTTTTTTTTACAATGGCATCTGCGGGTATCTTTTCTGCTGGAGATACTTTTGTCATAAAATCAAACAAAAAAATAAATAAAAAATCTTACATATAACATATAATGGTATAGCAGAAAATTTAAAACCTTGACTAATCCAAACCGCGCCATACCTTAAAAACGGTTATAGTCCCATGCCTAGTTTATACTATTTTAATTCTATCTAGTCTTTGTTGAGGATACCCTGGAATGTTCCTTGTATACAAATTGACATATTCTATTTAGGATTAAATGTATATACTGTGTGTTGAAGTTATAGCATGACTAGTCTGACATTTGTGGTATTTAGACATGATAGAATGTGTTCACAGAAAATCTGTGTGTCCAATGGAGTGTCCTTTCTCTCCATTGTTTACATACCTGGTCAAAAGTGTGATTAACTGACAGAGTTAGGAATGCGTGGAATTTCTGTTTCTCTCTTTCTGCCTTTCTCTTTCTGCATCACTTGCACTGGAAGTTAAAAGGAATATGTTTTGATTTCTTATTTTTCAGACATTACAGTGTTTTCTTATAAGCTTTTGCGCTCTCAAGGCTAAATTGTGAATCGTAATTTTCAACTTTCTAATCTTTTGTAATTGACACAAATGTGTTTGGTGCAGGGATTTAATGTCAGAATTGTACATATAATCATTTTTTATTTACAAGAAAGCAGCCCTTTGCTGGGTAATGAGTGAGAATGCTTTCTTAATTTAAATGGCGAGTGTGTCTGTTTGGGAATGCATTAGGGGCTGCTGAAGAAGCGTAAGACATATTAATTGACAGACAGGAACTGCTGTCTCTGAGGTTGATACAAGTAATTTATTACTTCAGAAACGAATGCCACCTCCAGAATGTGCTTCATTAATTTCAAATTTAGTTTTAATTTCAAGCTGTTGCCCCTTGAGAAGAATAAGGTGGCAACTTCGGTTTGAAGAGTGATTTTTCCCGTTATTTTACAACCCCCACCCCTTCTTCTTTTCTTCTTCTTCTTCTTTTTTTTTCTGCTACACTCTCTTTTCAAAACAAAGGGGGTAGAGTCAGAACTTGATTCCATGTGGCAATGTATTGCAATTGGAAAGCAGAGACGAAATTACTGCAACACTTTATAATGTAAAAAAAAAAGTCTGACTGATTGTTTTGTTTTTCACTGCTGAAGAAAACACATTGATGTCTGACGTTTCTATCAGCTGTCTATCCTCAATGCTAGGCATTGTAGGAATGTGATGTGTCAATTCCTCATCATTGGACAATGTGATAACACTTCTGCTTTTTCTTTTATCTCTCTTCTACCTGCAGCATACGTGCCAGAGGAGCTAAAGGAGGCTGCCTTGCTAGACGAGGATGTTGAGGGAGAGGATTCTGCTTTGGAGGAGGAACCTGCCATGAAATATGTGTGCCAGGACAAGGACTTACTCCTTAAAGACAGGCCAGGCTTCCACGACTCTCCACCTGCTGATTTCTCCAGCCATGAGATGGACAGCGAGTCCCACCTGAGTGAATCCAGTGACCGCATGTCAGACTTTGAGAGTGCCTCAGTGAAGAATGAAGAAGACAGCTCGGCCAAGGAGCCCCTCACCTCTCTTTCTTCGACTTCGTCAATGATGATGACGACAACAGCCACACCAAGCAGCGAGGAAGCCACACCATTAGGCCCAGACAGCCTGGAACAGATGAAAGCTATCTACACTAGCTTCTTGACCAACTCATACTGGTCATCGCTGAACTTGAATTTATCTCAGCAACCACCAGAAAAGCCCCCACGTAGCCACAGTAGTAGCAGCAGCAGTAGTAGCAGCAGCAGTAGCTGTGGTAGTGGTGGATACGACTGGCACCAGACAGCAGTGGCTAAGACCTTGCAGAATGTTTCACAGAACCAGAGTAGACTACTGCACCCAGCATCCGAGCCTAACCTCTTCAGTACTGTGCAGCTTTATCGGCAGAGCACCAAACTCTACGGCTCCATTTTCACTGGGGCAAGCAAATTCCGCTGCAAAGATTGCAGTGCTGCCTATGACACTCTAGTTGAGCTCACTGTGCACATGAATGAGACGGGCCACTACAGAGATGACAACCATGAGACAGACAGTGAAGGTACCAAGCGCTGGTCAAAGCCTCGCAAACGTTCCCTCCTTGAGATGGAAGGAAAGGAGGATGCCCAGAAAGTTCTCAAATGCATGTACTGTGGACATTCCTTTGAGTCACTACAGGATCTCAGTGTTCACATGATCAAAACGAAACACTACCAGAAAGTGCCTCTTAAGGAACCTGTAACTCCTGTGGCAGCCAAGATTATCTCCTCAGCTCGTAAAAGAGCCCCTATTGAGCTAGAACTCCCCAGCTCACCAGATTCTAACGGTGGCACCCCCAAGCCTTCTTTATCTGACCCCAATGACCTTCTGCAAAAGACCCCTAATCCTTACATCACACCCAATAATCGGTATGGACACCAAAACGGTGCTAGTTATGCATGGCAGTTTGAGTCGCGAAAATCCCAGATCCTGAAGTGCATGGAGTGTGGAAGCTCACATGACACATTACAGGAATTGACCGCCCATATGATGGTCACAGGACACTTCATCAAAGTCACTAACTCTGCCATCAAGAAAGGCAAACCTATCATGGAGTCAATGTCCACAACAGCTCCTAACCCCATACTTACTAATGAAGACAAGGTACAGTCAGTGCCACTTGCTGCCACTGCATTTTCCCCACCACCTCCTGCACCTCCTCCCCCTAGTATCTCTCCTGCCATCATGCCCATGGAGATTAAAAAGGAGGAGAAGGAAGTGGAGTGTACAAGAGAAACAAATAATAACAAAGACAAGAAAGCAGCAGAAAGCGAAACTGATGAGAAGTTTGAAGTTTCATCCAAGTATCCATATTTGACAGAGGAAGATCTTGAAGAAAGCCCTAAGGGGGGGTTTGACATTTTGAAGTCTCTTGAGAATACAGTAACATCTGCCATCAACAAAGCACAGAATGGCACACCCAGCTGGGGAGGCTATCCCAGTATCCACGCTGCCTACCAGCTTCCAAACATTATGAAACTCTCCCTGCGCAACTCAGGGAAAAGTTCTCCTCTGAAGTATATGTTTTCTGGAGAAGAGCTCCTGTCTCCTACCAAAAGCCAACCTCTAATTTCACCACCTAGTTGCCAAACATCCCCTTTACCCAAAAACAACTTTCATGCCATGGAGGAGCTGGTCAAAAAAGTCACAGAAAAAGTGGCCAAAGTAGAGGAGAAAATGAGGGATCCTGGAGCAAGGTCTTCCCCTCTGAGACGGACCACACCCTCTCCATGCAGTAGTGATGCAGGGGAATCTGCCAGAGGGGAGTCCCCTAAGGAAAGAAGAGGAGCCAAAACCCCTGAGACTAATGGGGGCGGAATCACTCACAAAGAATCAAATGGGGATGCTCTTACAAAAGAGTCTCTGGAGAATGGTACTGACCATGTTGTCAAAACCCCAGTGTCCACCTTATGTAGCAGCACTGCTATTATAACCGATCATCCTCCAGAGCAGCCATTTGTCAACCCTTTAAGTGCGCTTCAGTCTGTCATGAATGTTCACCTTGGCAAAGCTGCCAAGCCTGCCCTGCCATCCCTTGACCCCATGAGCATGCTTTTTAAGATGAGCAACAGCCTGGCAGAGAAGGCAGCAGTGGCTGCCTCCACTCCATCTCAGACCAAAAAGACGAATGACCATCTAGACCGCTACTTCTACCACATCAACAATGACCAGCCTATTGATCTGACCAAAGGCAAGAGCGATAAGAGCAACTCTTTAGGATCTGCTGCCCTGTCCTCCTCCACCTCCACACCCACTTCAATTTCACCGTCATCAACCATCACCATGGCCAAAGCCTCATCCGCTGTGGCTTCCTTCATGTCTAACTCACCTTTGCGTGAAAATGCCCTGTCTGACATCTCCGACATGCTACGTAACCTCACAGAAAACCATGCATCTAAGTCCTCCACTCCAACAAGTCTGTCAGAGCGATCAGACATAGATGGATCTACACCTGAGGAATCAGAGGAGATCTCTCCTGCTCAGAAACGAAAAGGCAGACAGTCCAATTGGAATCCTCAGCATTTGCTCATTCTGCAGGCACAATTTGCCTCCAGTTTGCGGCAAACAGGGGACGGCAAGTACATTATGTCAGACCTCAGTCCACAGGAGCGCATGCATATTTCGCGCTTTACTGGACTCTCAATGACGACCATTAGCCACTGGCTAGCAAATGTCAAATACCAGCTGAGGCGGACAGGTGGCACAAAATTCTTGAAAAATCTAGACTCTGGCCACCCTGTCTTCTTCTGCAGTGACTGTGCATCACAGATTCGTTCCCCCTCTACCTACGTCAGCCATCTTGAGTCACATTTGGGCTTTCGGCTCAGGGACCTGGCTAAGTTGTCTGGAGAACATCTTGTTAGCCAGATCTCTCGCCACACCAAGGGACTATCTGAGAAACTGCTTTCAGCCCAAGCGCATTCTTTGGCTCATACGATCGCGAACCCAAGTCCTCACTCACTTTCCCCCTCCCCTTCCCCAGATGAGGAGGCAAATGGCACCTCGTATCAGTGTAAACTGTGTAATCGGACTTTTGCCAGCAAACACGCCGTCAAGCTCCATCTGAGTAAGACCCATGGTAAATCTCCAGAGGACCATCTTATGTATGTTAGTGAACTTGAGAAACCTTAGCGATGGCCAAGGACAAAAACTCTCTTATCTCTTTATCTCCTGTCCTTTTTTCAAGCCTTCTGACTAACATTTCTTAAGGAAAAAAAAGAACTGAAAGTAATTAACAAAGAACTAACTGCACATAGATGCCAGAAAACTACTGTTTAGTTTTGGCACATAATTTGGAGTTTTATTTTCCTCTGGGGAACATTCATTTGGCTCTAGAGACGTTCATTTTCTGCATTTTCAGTTTACAATGGAAAACAGAGAAAATGATGGCAAATGATAATTTTCTAACTGTGCAGTGAAGAGGTCACTGGTAAAATATGAAGGTAAATAAAAAAGACAAAATGAAGTTGTATGTATTTGAAAGTTGTGTAAATTGAGTTTTTTTGGCATCCTTGAGATGCAGTAAGCTGCATGCATTAATGAATGGTTTAGTTCAATATTTGAAAACTAAATCTGGGCTTTTCTTTATCTCTCTTTTCTCTTTTTTTATTTCCATTTTTATTGACCTAAAAAAATTTAACCCTCTGAGTACGCCTAAATACTTTTATATTTACAACCCCCAAACGTAAATACATAAAGAAATAAATACAAAAGATTGGAAATAACACATTTGATATGTATTTGAGTGGGCATATTCAGTTTTTTGTTTTATTTATTTTTTATACCCACTAAACACTACATACGTCTGATACATCACTTCTTTTTCAGCTTGCGGTGCAGAAGTATACGTGAATCCAAAATAGCATGTTATTTTTTGTTTTCTTTTTTTTTTAGTTTGCTCAAATCAGGGGCCTTTTATGAATTCAGGTCAGTGTAAAAATGTGTACATAAAAAAACATAAACTAATTTCTGTCTAAATTATGCATCATTTTATATTTTTTAATTTAAGATGGGTATGACTATCTACTGGTGCACAATATATGAAGACATTAATGAAAGTGTTTTGCACAATAGTTTTATAAATATGTTATTTAATCAGAAGATATGAAAATGCTAAGAAAAAAGATCACCCTAAAGTTTTATTTCCACCTCGTGCTCAAAGGGTTAAACTTGTACAAGACTTGTTCCATCATTTGACTTAAATGGTTGTATAAAAAGATGAAACTTTATAATGTAAGGAGGAATTCCACGATGTAACCTTTTTATTTATAAACACTCTTGGTTGTTGTTTCATATTGTAGAATGCCTTTTTGATCGGTATCTTTTATTTTGTTGTTCTGTCTAATTATTCCTCCATAAAGCCACACTGCAGCTTCATCATTTTAGGGGATATGAAAGGTAACCATGGTTACCTTACCTCCAATTGACAGTTCTGCTACGTTTTGGCAGTTAATTTACTGAAGTAACTGACAGCTGCCAGTGAATGGAAATCTTATGTGTAAAATATTGGCATGTTAACAGCACAGGCACTGTTATGCATTCTGTGCCGTGTTACCTTTTTTTTCTGTTGTTGTTGACAATGAAGCACTCATTATATGACTTCATATAACCTTTTTTCTACTGCAGCATTAAATTGAAATTGTTTTGGTTTTTTGCAATAACTTGATGTGTCGTGGCTCACAAGTCTGTCGGGCGCCGGGGGATAAGAAATGAGCAGATTAAAGAGAACTGCTGTCAGTTAAATAGCAGTCGACAAGTGTGTAAAAAGACATTTGTGTGACGATCGGGGTAGACCACCGGACCTCTGACAGGCAAATTAAAATCAGCCAGGTGGCTTGGGTGCATGCGTGCGTGTGTGTTTATACATTAGCATAGACCTCTGCTGCTGGTCTCACAAACATTAAGTGTTTATCTCTGATGCGGCAGACTTTAGTGGTGTCATATATTTTTGGCAGATCTATCCCATCACTCCTCTCATCTAATTCCCTGCCTGGTGACACATCAACTCACAACGTCTCCTAATATGGTTTAACTAGGGAAGCATCAGGCGGTGTGAAGAGCGGTGCGCCTTTCCCTCTCTACAAAGGAATGTAGCAGATAATTGCTCTGGCATTAACTGTCTCTTTTTCACAGTTTTCACTGTTGTAATTAGCTCAGGTTCCCATTTTGCAGGGACAAATTTGCTTGGGACTCATCCAGGATGACAACAGAATCGCATTTAGAGTTTGTGACTGCAAAATTATGCTTTAGCATACATAGACTGCACTCAAACAAAATGAAAATGACATACTGTATGTGCTGATTCCTTGCTTGTGTATATGCAATAGAGAGAGAGAGAAAGAAACAACATTTGTGAGGGCCACATATAAGAAATATCTCATAATAGGTGGGACAATTTCCAAAAAAAAAAAATGGTTTACCCTGTTTGGTTACTGAATATGTTCCTCGTCAGATCTGTCAGAGAGCATTCAGCATGCGCACGCACACACTCAAAGACGTCAGGAGCCAGGTAGAGGGGACATCATGTGTGGTGACAAGGTGCTGCTGTGTGTGAAAATGTCAGCCTTCACAGGCATTCCTGAAGTCTGGCGCCATATTTAAGGTGCTCATTAGTCGCAAAGAAAATGTGCGTGAAATTGAAGTGTAAGAAAGCCATTTTCTCTTCTATCTCCCAGCCTGATGAGCCACCGAACTTGGGGTTATTAATGGCCTGTTTCCACAGAGGGGTACAGTACTGTATGGTACAGGTCGGTACGGGTCACCTTTGTCAGGCTTGCGCTGCCACTGCCAAAAGGGTACCAATGGGTAGGGCGTGGTGTATGACAAAGTTTCAGTCGACGTCATTCTCGCTTGAGGAAATGACTACAGTAAAGCTGTACGGGTCGTGAATAAATATGTTCATTACTTACCTTTCTATCAACATAATTATAACTGCAGATCTATGATAAGGCTTTACATTCTACTGTAACATCTGCAATTATATAAAATAAATAAGTGAATAAAACATATATGAACACATACAGCCCCTTATAGTCTGCGATATGTTACTAATTACAGAAAAACTACACACAGCATACATTTAGGCCTTATTGGCTTCAAAAACTACACACAACATATAGCCCACAGTCAGTGCAAACCTCTCATCTGTATATTTAATCTTCACCAGCGCATGTATCCTCTTGTTTAGAAAGTAATTCTATCATTCCGAGTTCATAATAGTCCAAAAGGTGATGATAATGGTTAAACATGGCAGTTTGTTCATAGTTTAGTTTGCTGAAAGAATCATTTGCTCCTTTGTTTTTTCCGGCTCCTCCTTTGTTTTTTTGCACTTCACTCCTTCACTCTGCATGGATCGGAGGTCTGAGTCACTTCAATAATCATGGCCACGTTATTATCATCAGCTCAAGAAATTTGCGATTTTAAATATAGATGCGATCACGAGCTCTTTAAAGAAAGTGAATCCACTCGCACTCTTAGACGGCCTCGCAAAATGACAACAGGACAAGCCAGATTTGGTCCATCTTGACTATGGCTGTTCATCAAGACAACGGCAAGGTTTGTTTGAGCTCAGGTCGACCATTGCTTGTTATTATATGTATATACTATTACGGTGTAATGTGTTGGTTGTGTATTTAAAAATGCCGGTGCCTTTGTCCTGGCTATGCGCTAGTAACATTTCTCTGTAAACCAATAGCTTTCAGCTACACGTCTTGCATTGCCTTTTGGTACCCTTTTGTCGTGCTAGGTACCCTTTGCGAAGGGTACCCAAAAAGTTGTATGGTACAGTTCGCTTTTAGGTACCTTTTGACAGTTGAAACGGCCATAAATGCACACCAAACCATACCGTACCATATCACTCAGTGGAAACGGGTCATAAGGTTAAGAACAACTATGCACATACATTTAACAATGCCTACACACTCCTACATGCGCAAATATCCTGATGCTAACGGTGCATTTTTAAAGTTGCTTGGGCTTTGTATGAAATCTGCGTACATATTTATCAAGGTTGCATTGAGCTATGAATTTGACCCAGTTCACGACGGGGAGTAAACCAATTGTAAACATGCACAGCCAAAGGTATGTTTGTGCAGGAAAAAGGCCTACATAATTGCTTAGCGCCTAAATACCTCAACAATGAGTATATTTCCCAGGATGTGAGGAACGTAATTGGTCTGTACACATAATCTGCTCAGAATGAGAGGTTTACGTGTGCGGGAGCGACCCACACATTGGAGGCTTTATCTCCATTGCGCTGCTACAAAAGAGCAGCTCAGTGAAACTCTCGAACCAGCCCTCTCCAACACAAATGAATGCGGTGTTGTAATGCTATTGAGCTACTAAGGGACTTTATGTATCGCTGGACTTTTCAGATAAACAAAATTGCGGATTATGTGCGGCGGCGGAGGAAATGTATCTGCGTTTGCGCTATCGCTAACAAACACACACGCAGGCTGTTTTCACTAGGCCTTTGCAATAAGCGGGTACCTACATAGCAAATTACAGTGATGCAGGCAATGCGCATCCACTCCTCAACAATTGGGCCTGATTGATTCACTACTGCGCTGACCCAAGGCTTCACTTTGTCTGCGGACGCCTTTGAGGCGAGCTGTCTCTCTTAACCTGTGTAATTTACATGCACTGTAATTCACTCACCATCTGCAGTCTCACCTTGGAAGCACTCCCATTACAAATGCTAATTTAGAGCACCTTATAAATTCTCTCAATCACAAGCTTGTGTGTGGACAATCTACACACACTCTGAGAGAGATAGAGTAGATATTAGCACACCAAAAAAAAAAAAAAAAAAAAACACTCATGGGTGTGTCCCAGTGACCCCAACATTACCCCAATAAGGAATGGAGGGAACGAACAGGAGGCGCCGTAGCGTTTTGTAATGCACCACCATAGATCTTCAAGCTGTCGCCTTTTCCAAGTATCTTAAAATAATGTGTGTGATAAATGTGCGATTTCTCTAATTCACAAGGCCTCGGTGTGCTCCCGGCTAGGTGCAGGAGAAAATCTTAAATGGGGCTTGAACGCTTCTTTGCACAACAAGAAATCAATACGCCACACATCTTAGGAGTTAGACTGAGTTTAATGCCTACTTAAAAGCACTAAACGCACACCTGTAGTCTCCAAATCATCTCACATACATGCTTGTGTGCGTACGTGTGTGTGTGTGTTTGTCATTTATACCTCTTGTCTCCGAGAGCCGGTTGGCTGTCAGTGGCTCAGTAAGATGACAAAGGGCATAATGGCGTTGTGCAGCAGTGTGCCATTACAAATGTGATCACCAATCACTCGAGACACAACACACTCCACGCAGGAAGAGGTAATAAGGTCTCAGTGAGCGCACACTCACTCCCTTCTAACCCGCTCACATTCCCACGTGGGCCTGCGTGTCTATGAGACAAACATACCGGGGGGAAGAATTATCTACAGCGCAAAAGCAGTTAGTTGCTACAATACAGATGCACACATACGCCTCGGTATTCATCACAAACGGCAGACGGTAAAGCCCACCAACGCAGATGAATGAAAAAAAGGCAGCATAAAAACGCAAATAAAGGACACCGAGGGTGAATCTTTTAGTGCGGGTAGCACAATAAAATCTGTCTGAGATGGTTGGGAGTTGCTGATGCCTGCATTTATATACTAATTCATTTTAATTTGCCGTTCTAAACAGCATTACTTCTGTTTGCAGCGAGCCCATGACCTCAAGACAAACTGAAATTGCGAATGTTGAATGTCTGAGCCGTTAATAAGCTAAATGTTGGCTAAATGTGAGTCTGAAATGGTCTTATACCACAGATATGTATTTTTATCTTATTAAACTGTCGCTTACTGAACAATAAGAGCAATTATCTTAAAGATAAAAAAAATGGGTAACACTTCTTATTTTGATGGTCTATTTGAGTATTAGTAGACTCTCTGCTTGATATCTGTTGATACTGCTGCTAAACAGACATTTAACTGATTATAAGAAACTTTGCAACTTACACTAACCTCAACCCAACATTCTACTTATAATCTAATGAGAGTTAGTTGGCATGTAGATGCAATGTAACCTAAATTCAACAAACGGACCATCAAAATAACATGTGACCAAAAGATGTACCAGCAAGTTTGATCTAAAATTGTCTGTAATTTGGTTTGTAACAGTACACAAATAGCTCACTACATTTTTCTGTTTTGAAGACACAGTTTGGTACGGTGGACACGCACAAACAAATTTCCTAAGGGTAAAAATTGTCAGTTTATTCTCTAAACTACATAGGGAGTCCGTAAACGATTACATTAGTATTGTAAAATGCTAAAATTAACAATATGTTTTGGTATAATAATAAAAAGTCTAATTATTCAGTAATTCTATCTTATTTGTGTCTGTGTCTTGATCAGAGATGCCCAAAGTGGGGCCTGTGTGCCAAAGCTGGCCCACTGTAAACTTAGATTTGGCCCACCGTCCTATCTGAAAAGAAAGGAAGAATGATGGGAAGGTGGTTGTAGCGAATACCTTTAACAGAGATCGTTAAAGCTTTTGGTTCTTGGTTTTATTGTTGAGTTACAAAAAAATCCAACAGAATTTAAATGTTACTGTCACTTGAGAGATAGAGGACAATGCACAAGTCATTGACAGCAAATCAAGGCAAAGGCTCAACT